ACCCCATTTCCGCCTACGGCGACGCCGTGGCTTCCTTTCATGTCCGTATGGCTCTCCTTTCGCAGGGCTCAATCTGAAGGACTCCGCCATCGCGAACGCCCTTGAGCAATATTCCGAGTTCGTTTTCCACAGCGCGCGCCCTCGCTCGGCGCAGAAATGGCAGAGTGTCTTCCGATTTAAGTATTCAATACTATGGGTAGCAGCATGTGGGAGATTTTTCGGATGCCGCGGGATAATATTGGCAATGCCGTCATTGGAAAATTGTTGTGGTAGACCACGGCAAAAGACGAGGCATGCGACGCCGACAATCCCATGCCGCCACTTCTACCACAGCATGGATTCATGTCGGCCAACTTCCCCGATCTATCTCGAGACAACGCGAAGTTGCCCTCGCAGCCGCCTACTGCGCCACGTTCATCCGATCGGGCCACATCGGTAAGATTGTCGAGGCACTGCAGAAGACCTGCTGCGGCGTCTTCCACAACCTGACAGACGCCCGCAAGTATGAAACGACAACATCCTCATGGGTGACTTCGCGTGGAGGCACCGGTGGGCCCGAGTCCCTGCCAGCGCCGGCGGCGACGCCCGCAGCTGACGGCGCGCTTGCCCCGGCGAAAAACGTTGCGCACTTTTGACCCAAGTTGGCAGCCATGGGTGCCCAGCGTGCGCCGCCCCAGTGACGTGCCTCCAGGCAGCGACGCTGCCAGTTCTGGATGAGACTACACTTTCAAGGATTATCCGACCGCCCCTCCACCGAGATGGTCGGCGTTTGCGTCTGGTCGTTGCCTCGAGACGATGCTCGGCGACAATGGTTGGGCTACTCTGCTACAGAAGGACTTCGGACTCACGGCCGCGCGTGCTCTTGGACCAGGCGGGCGCGCCTTCGAGAGGGTGAATTTACACAGCGACTCCAGTTGCATCATGCAGAGTAAAAGCGGCAAAAGCAAAGAGACAACGCCACGCCAGGGCGCCGACGACCTGAACGATCCACGACTCCGCAAACATATTGCGGATGCATTCAACCCTGCGCTGGTTTCTTTCATCTGCCCTTGAATGCATGAGTTCTACTGCCAGTGGGGTGTAACGCTTGAGGATTTCAGTATCTGAAAGCGCGATGATATACCGTTGTGGGCCATGCAGGAGACTGACCCAGACCTGTCGGCTTGTGCACGACTGTCCCGTCGGTTGCAGCTTACCCTTGTTGCTTGAAGCCGGTGGAAACACCTGCATGTTTGACCCGCCCGTTGCGCGACAGAGGCTCCACGCAGAAATGCGCCGCAAAGTCGATGGCATCACGGCTGCCGCGGACCCTCGCAATGCAGGACATAAGGGAATAATCGACATGCTACCCCAGACCAGAACGCATCTCGTGGCTGGACACTGCGACGGTTATCGCGAACAGAACGAAGTCATATGGAACTATTGGGTGGACATTTTTCTTGCTTGTGTCAAACATAAGCACTGCCAGCTCGGTCTCAGTGCCTTTCTGGTGGAGCGCCAATGACATTGCTTGGGATGGCAAACGCACGGACCTACGTCCACATCGTGCCCGTGGAGGCTTATCCCCCCGCCTACCACGAACAGTTCATCCTTGCGCGCCAAGGCGTGGTCTCGTGCCAGCATGTCAAAGTGGACATCTCGCGTTGCGTTGATGTGATGAACTACTTCCGCTGCCCCGTTGTCATGGGCCCTGGCAAGGCTACGCATTGGGGCCTCGGTGACACGTTCGACGTCCTTACCAAGGAGATCACTTCCATGTTCACTGGCAGAGGTATTGCCGCCCTACCCGTCCAACAATGGATTGAGACGTAGGATCGCCCACGCGCCAACGCTTGGCACGCCGCCAAGAACGAGCGCGCATTCGCGCGGCTGACGTTGCAGTTCATGCGTGGTGCTACGGTACGCAATATGAGCGCAGTTCCTTTGTCCTTGGCGACCCAACCATTCCCTTTTCGCATCCCCTGATTAAACCCGTCACGGACTACTGGGGGCACAAACAGGCTCTCGAATTGCGCCGCGCTCTTCAAATGCGCCTGGAGCAATCCATGCAGCATCAGCGTCGGTATGGTCTCAGTGCATTGCAGGCGCCGGCACTTGGTGACCATGCGATAGTTTCGTGGGTGAATAATTCCTCGTGGCCCCATGCAGTCTGCGGCTACTTGGGTGGCTGGGCTAAGTGGGTTGGTTGGGCTGGCTGGTTTCGTCTCGTGCTAGCCTGATCGCGAGTATGTGTGGTATTAGTACTAATATTCAACTACCATCGCTACTACTACTAGTACGAATACTACTACTACTACTACTACTACTACTATTACTACTACCTCTTTACTACTACTACCACTACCACTACTACTACTACTACTACTACTACTACTACTACTATTACTACTACTACTACTACTACTACTACTACTACTCCTACTACTACTACTACGACGACGATCACTGTTATTATGGCAACTACTACCCTTATTAATACTACTACTTCTATTACTACTACTACTACTACTACTATTACTACTACTTCTACTTCTACTATTCACACCCATATGTATGTATTGCTGCTCCTGTTTCTACCACTACAACTACGTTTATTACTTATTATACTACTTCCCCTACTATTACTACGATTGCTACTGATACTTGTATGAGCACAACTACTACTACTACTGTCGCTACTACAATATATTACTAGTACTAGTACCACTACCACCACTACTACTACTACTACCACTACTACTACTACTACTACTACTACCACTACTACTACTACTACTACTACTACTAGTACTACTACTACTACTACTACTGCTACTACTACTACTACTACTACTACTACCACTAGTGCTACTCCTACTACGAATACAACTACCACAGCTATTTTTATTACTGCTGCTACAACTACTACTACTGCATCGACGACTGTTGGTATTGACGTTGCTACTGCTGCTGCTACTACTAGTCCAAATTTTCCTACGACTACTACGACCACTACCACCGCGACGACGACTACGACTACGCCCACCACCACTAGTAGTAGCAGCATTTCTACTGCTACTTCTATTCTTAGTACTACGACTACTATGAATTGCGACGACTACTATTACTAGTACGACTACTTTCGCTACTACTACTACTCCTGCTACAACTACTGCTGCAATTACCTCCACTACGACTACCACTACGACCACCAACATTTGCATACGATTGTTATTATTACCACGAATAGTAATACTCCGACTACTACGACTACTACTACTACTACTATTACTACTACTACTATTATTACTACTACTACTACTACTACTACTACTACTATTACTACTGCTACCACGGCGATTACTACATCAACAACTACTACTACTACTACTACTACTTCTACTACTACTAGTACAACAATTACGACGACGACGACGACTACTGCTACTATTACTACTACTACAACTACTATTCGTATGATTGCTACTGTTACTACTGGTATTATTTCTGCTGATACGACTCATTCCATTATTACTAGTTTCATCAGGACTACGGCGGCGACGACTACTACTACTAACGCTACTACGCTAATCACTAGGACTACGATTATTTCAACTACGGTTACCATGCCACAGTATCAATGTTACGGTTATCATCACTGATACCAGCACGATCATTTCTTTGATTAATTCAAGAATTATGCGATTACTACCACTACTACTACTACTACCGCTAGCACCACCGCTGCGACTACTATTACGACTACTACCACTACGATCACTAGTAAAGCTACTACTACTACTACTACTATTACTACTACTACGACTACGACGACGACTACTAACTACTATTACTACTACTACTGCTACTACTACTACTACCACTACTACTACTACTACTACTACTACTACTACTACTACTACTACTACTACTACTACTACTACTACTACTAAACTACTACTACTACTACTACTACTACTACTACTACTACTACTACTACTACTACTACTACTACTACTACTACTACTACTACTAGTACTTCTACTACTACTTCTACTACTACTACTACTACTACTACTACTACTACTACTACTACTACTACTACTACTACTACTACTACTACTACTACTATCTACTACTACTACTACTACTACTACTACTACTACTACTACTACTACTACTACTACTACTAGTACTACCACTACTACTACTACTACTACTACTACTACTACTACTACTACTACTACTACTTCTACTACTACTACTACTACTACTACTACTACTACTACTACTACTACTACTACTACTACTACTACTACTACTACTACTACTACTACTACTACTACTACTACTACTAGTATTAGTAGTAGTAAGAATTATAATGCTGGGCCGAGTTGATATTCGTATCGCTAGTGTTATGAGTATTCGCATTCGTGTTCGCATCAGTACCAGCACTTGTTGTATAATAACAAATATTCTCCGTATGTTTATCATTCTCCCTAACAGAACTGATATTGCTACGTCTCCCAAGAATGCAGAAGGGCAAGGGAACTGAACATGAACCCGCCTGCGATCGGGCGCCGGGGTGGGACCAGCCCCGAGCATGGCCACAGTCAGAGAGGGGTGATCCAGAGCTCTCGGGTGCGCGCGGCGGGCCTCGCCGGTGCTCACGAATGCGAAGGGTCTTCAGCTCGGGGGTCCCTGGCACGGTGGGGTGACCACACCGTGTGGGTGACCGCATGGCTTTGGGACTCGGGCGCTTGGGGCTTACAGAGGGTTGAAAACCGAGCGGTGACGGACCGTGCGGTGAGGTCTTCATGGGGATTTCGAGGTCACCGCACGGTCCGTTACCGCACCGTGTTGGGACCCCCAGGTAGCCTTTTGCCCCACGGGCAGGCACCAGGCGCAATCTCGGCGCGCTCACCCATCACACGGGGTGCCCACCAGCGCCCACGGGCGGGCACCAGGCGAAACCTCGGCGCACCCACCTAGCGGCACGAGGCGCCCAGAGGGGTCCGTAGCCTTCTGGCCCAAGGAGGCACGTGCGCAAGTGCGCCGGGGCCTGGAGCCGCCGTTCCGCGGCGCTGGCCGCCGCCGGCATGCTCCGCTCGGGCCCGCGTGCCATGTCCGTGGCGTGCCGGCGTTCGGCGGAGTGCAGCGCGGCGCTGAGGCCGCGGTGGGCGCAAGTTGCGCCCAGCAGGGCCCTGTGCGTGGGGCGCGCGGCGCTGAGACAGCAGGTGGTGGTGCCAGAGAGCCACGGCGGCAGCGGGCCGCAGGGCGCCGCTGCCTCTGCCAGAGACACGCCAGAGGAGCGCCCCTCGCAGGGGCTGTCGCCGGGAGTGCGGACATTCCTGCTGTGGGCAACGCTGGGCCTTGGCAGCGCCTTCGCATGGGACCAACTGTCCGGTGCGGAATGAGCGGCGGGCGCGGAAGCGAGCAGAGGCGGGAGAGAAGATGAGGATGATCACGCGGAGAAGGAGGAGGCCGAGCTGGAGGAGGAAGTGGAGGATAATGTGAGGAGGATCAAGACGGTGAAGAGGATGAAGAGGATGAAGAGGATGGTGGTGATGATGATTATTATTATGAAGAGGATGATGATGCTGATGCTGAGGCTGATGTTGATGATGATGCTGATGCTGATGATGCTGCTGCTGCTGCTGATGATGATGATGATGATGATGATGATGATGGTGCTGGTGGTGGTGGTGGTGATGATGATGATGATGATGGTGGTGGTGATGATGATGATGATGATGATGATGATGATCATCATCATCATCACCATCCACGAGTCTGAAGAGGTCGGGAGCTCACAGCGGTCCGAGTCATGTCCCTGTGGCCCTGCGTTGGCCATTTTCGGCCTCGTGCCTTAGGCACCCTCGCAAATTCGCCTGAGTGCCAAGAGGGCGTCCACCGCCTCGGCCGAAGCAAGCGGTAGCCCCGCCATCGTAGCAATCACGGCGACTCAGCTCAGACCTGACTGACTACACACAAAGCGCCAGCAGAGTCCGTCCGAGCTGGTACGCGGCGCGCAGCGCGCGCAGCCGCCAGTCGACAGCCTGCCCAAGAGGGGCAGGAGGGAGTGAACCCTGTCGTGTGCCGAGCCCGAGGTGGATGCGGCCTACGCCTCGGGGTCCCTCCACTCTCGGACAACACGCTAGGTAGGCGCCGCGCTCGCTGGACGAGAGGTCTCGAGACGCGACTGGCCCCAGCACAGGCGACAGCGACCCCAAGAGGGCCAGGAGGGAGTGACCACAGGCGTATGCCGAGCCCGGCAGGGTACAGCCGACTCCGCGGGTTCCCTCCACCCTCGAAGGCGACGCAGCTTGAAGCAGGCCTCAGCCTGGAGCAGTAGCGGAGCCCAAGAGGGGCAGGAGGGAACAAAAACCTGGCGTGTGCCGAGCCCCGACAGGGTACAGCCTACGCTTCGGGTTCCCTCCACCCTCGAAGGCGACGCAAGCCCAGGCCGGCCTGGCCTGGAAACCATCAGTTGAAGCGCAGCACTCGTCGGACAAGAGGTCCGGAGCCGCGGCTGCGTAATCTTGAAAGACTGGGGTGCTAGCGGCTGCAAGGACCATCCGCGAGGCTGCCGCCGCCTCCAGGAGTTCGCCCGCTGATAGGAAGTCGCCGTCGCTGCCATCACCATTGTCGGAGACGTTGTCGCCGTCGTCGCAGCGCTCGTCCGACACGGCATGGTGCAGCTCCTCCCTGAGCGTGTCGGGCTGGGACTCGCCCTCGATCTCGGGCCGAGCATCGGAGCCGAAACCGAAGCCCAGGTCATCTGGGGCCGAGGGGGCGGCATCGCCGCCCATCCCGAGGCGGTCCACGGCACCGAGAGCCTGGTTGTGCTCTTCGGGTGCCTCCTCGAGCTCATCGTCGGCGCGGACGTGCACTTCGGGCGCCTCCACGAGCTCCAAGTCGGCTCGTGCCGCCACGTCGTCACCGACCATTGCCTCGCCGCCGATGACGCTGGGCATATCGCCTCCGATGCCGCCGCCTAGCTGCCGCCCATGACGTTGGCCTGCGCCGCCGTCTTCTCGTCCGACGGGTGCTGGAGGACGCCTTCGCCACCGAGGGGTGTCAACCAGCGCAGCCCTTGGCCGTCGTAGGACACCGCGGCCGCCTCTGGGAGCGAGGGCAGCCAGCCCAGGCGGGGGTCTGCAGCGGACCGCGAAAGCTGCGGACGCGCGCGCGAATCCGCCTGCAGGGGCCAGTAGTTCGTGCCACGCGGCGTTCCGCCGCCGCCGCATTGCGCCTGGGACGCGGCATCCCGTGGCGGCTAGGCGCAAGGCGGGGCGCGCAGCAGCCTCCGGGTCCTGCCAGGAACCTGAGCCGCCGCTGGCCGCCTTGCCGACCGCCGACTCGGCCGCGAGGAGGCGCCGTGCCCGCTCCCGTCGGCGAGCTGCCGAGGTGCCTACCTCGGCCTCCTCCTTCCTTGCGCAGCGCACTGCTCCGCTTGATGGGCCGCCCCGCCACGCCCGCGTGCAGTCCTTCGTCGGCATTGTCTCCCAATCGCGCGCCGCCCACCGCTGCGCGTTGGCACCTGCAAAAGCCAACATGACTTGAGAAACAGCTTGAGCCAAAATGGCTACAGATGATGACGATGATGGTGATGGTGATGATGATGAGGATGATGATGACGATGATGATGACGATGATGATAATGATGATGATGATTATGATGATGGTGATACTGCTGGTGATGATGAGGATGATGCTGATGATGAAAGATGATGGTGGTCATGATGATGATGATGAAGATGATGAGGATGCTGATGACGCTGATGATGATGATGATGATGATGGCGTTGGTGATGATGATAATGGTGATGAGGATGGTGATGATGATGATGATGATGTTGATGATGGTGATGACGATGACCAAGATGATGATATTGATGATTCTGATGATTATGCTGATGATGCTGATGGTGATGATGACGAGTGCAATGATGGTGATGATGATGATGATGATGACGATGACGGTGGTGAGGATGATGATGTTGATGACGATGATGATGGTGATGATGATGATGATGATGATGGTGAGGAGGATTACCAGGATGCGGATTATGATGATTACGACGATGATTATGGTGATGATGGTGGTAATGATTATGGTGATGATGATGATGATGATGATGATGATGATGATGATGATGATGATGATGATGATGATGATGATGATGATGATGATAATGATAAGGATGGCGGTACTGATGTTGATGATGATGTTGATAATGATGATGATGGTGATGATGATGATGATGTTGATGATGGTGATGATGATGATGATGATGATGATGATGATGATGATGATGATGATGATGAGGAGGACAGGAGGAGGAGGAGGAGGAGGAGGGAGGAGGAGGAGGAGGAAGAGGAGGGAGGAGGAGGAGGAGGAGGAGGAGGAGGAGGAGGAGGAGGGGGAAGAGGAAGGAAGAGAAGGAGGAGGCATGAGGATGAGGTATGAGGATCAGGCGCCGACGACGATGATGAGGAGGAGGGCCATTGGGAGGCCGCTGCCCTTTGCAACTGTCGCGCGAAGAACGGGCAGTACTGAGGGCGGGGGCCAAAAGTTGAACGCCGTTGGCGACCCAGAATCGGTCGATGGTGAACGATCCGGCGATTCTGGAATTGCCGATCGTTCAAAACGACCCCCGCGGTGTCAGGAACCACCGCCAGTGTGGACAAGACGCGAACCTGCCGTACAGGACTCGGCCCTCGGCGCTGGTTCCGCTTCAGCCTGTTGCCTCACGGCTAGCAATCGGCCTGACCACTGCTGTTCTTACAGGCACCACCGCTCTGAATTCGTGCAGGCAGGCCCCAAACGACCATACCTAAACGACCATGCCCAGAACTTCCAGAACGACCACTCTTAACTCGTTTAGGCATGCTCAGAACCAGGATGCGAACGTACAATTCTTACGCACGCCCACCGACCCCACACGCCCGCCTTGCGCACGCAGGCCGAATTTGGGCTCCCAGAGTTTTTCATCATCAGAGGGAGCCCAAGCTCAGCCTCCGGCGTGCCCGGCGGTGGTTCCGGAGCGAGTCTCCCCGTTCTTCGAAGAAGGGAGTTGCATAGTGTATGTGTGCGCAGCTTTTCGGAGTGGCTCGCTCACGACGGCGCGACGTGTGGATGCCCGCGGCGTGTTTCCCGTGGAGGCTGAACGGGCAGTCCATCGGAATGTAACATGCTGACAAATAAGCGGCGCAAGTTTCTATCCGTCGGAGTTGCACGGCAGCCCTTCCTGACAGAAGTTTTCGCAGGTCCGTGCGGACCTCCGAAAGCTTCTGTGCTCATGCAGCTCTTCTTTCTAGCGCCTGCCGCCTAGGCGTCAGGTCAGCCCTGAGTTTTGCTGCCTTTTCCTCGTCTACTCGCGCAGGGTGGAGGATGGGGGTAGGGGGGAGACGGATGAGGCGACGAGGAGGAATACCAAGAGGAGGGATGGTTCCTCCTGGAGGGGTGATGATAAGGATGATGATGGTGATAGTCACGATGATGGTGATGATGCTGATGATGACGGTGATGCTACTGTTTATGATATTGACGATACTGATGATGATGGTGATGATGATGGTGATGATGATGAGGATGAGGATGAGGGTGATGGTGAGGATGATTATGATGATGACGACGATGCTGTTGCTGCTGATGATGATGACGCGGATGGTACTGATTATGATGATGATGATGTTGATGATGATGGTGATGATGGTGATGATGATGATGATGATGATGATGATGACGATGACAGGGATGATGATGTTGCTGATGGTGATGATGAATATGATGCTGATGATGGGAATTATGTCGATGAAGAGGTTGATGATGATGATAATGACAATGACGGTGATGATGGTGACTATACTGGATATGATGTTGACTATGATGGTGATGACGATGCTGATGATGATGATGATGCTGACTCTGATTATGATGCTGACGATGATGATGCTGGTGAGGATGAGGATGAGGATGCTGATTTTGATGCTGATGCTGATGCTGATGATGATG